ACATTTTTACTGCAGCTTCTACCTTGAATTCATACTCCAAATCATTACTCCCTGGCTGCTGCTGCCTGTTCACCCATTCCACTGAAATTGCTCCAGCAACACACTAATGACTTGCCAATCACAACAAATGGACCCATCAGCCCCTCTGTTTGAAGTTTTTATGCTATTTGTTACTACTACCTGCCCCCTTTGACCCTTCTTTGCTTCTGTAGATTGCCGGACTTCCTGTGGAACAGGGTATGCCCTAGGACTGCGGCCTTGAGGCCCTACTCTATTTGTTGTGCCCTCTTCCTGGGACAGCTCACTGCCCCCCTGACAGCTCCCAAACCTAAACCCACTTGGAACCCTTCCCATTCATGTATACTCAATACTCTAAGTGTCTTGGGTACTTACTGCAAGCTGCACAAAGCCAATGCCTAACTTATTTCCTTCCTAAACTTCAGCTTCCCTTCTGTGGTCTCACCAGAGGCAGCACCTTCCATTTAAGCCAGCAATCTGGGAGTTGACCTTTACACCAACTTCTTCTACATTTCACATCCCATAAACAGTCACATCCTTTCAGTGGGCAGAGCCTGCATCTCCTATCGTTGTCACTGCCTTGGTTCATATCCTAGCATCTCTCCAGCATCCCTGCTCCAACCTATTAACCATCCTCCTGCCTCCTGTTTTCTCCCATGCCCCCAACTCATTCCCTTCCTACTGCTTACAGCTGTCCAAAAATGCAACTTAGATTTTGACAATCCCTAGCATAAAAGTGCTCCCAAAGCTCAAAATATCGCAATGCTTAGAAGAGTCGTTGGCCATCTTGCCTCTCACCAACCCTTTCAACATGAACTTCATTTCCACTAGCCAGCAGGTTCACTGGGCCTTACTCTCAGATGGCTTCTCCTCAGTTCCCACTCTGCCCCTCCTCTGCCTAAATGAATCAGCCTGCTCATCCTGTACAATGTAGCCCAAAGACTATCACCTCTGGAAATCTTGCAGCTCCCAGGTTCTCTAAGCCCTCAGTCCCTAGCCATTGCTCAGCATTATCACAATCCCTAAACAGCTGACCTTCCCTGAAGACCCCACTCACTGGGAAGATAGACCACATCCTCCAAATTCCTGAATCACCAACTCTAGTAAAGAGATTTAAGTTCAGTGATGCCATAATGGCACAGAAGTCCATGGGGTGGCAATATATGAGTAATGGACCCTGTATTTTTTTAAAGCTAAAAGGAATCTGAATGTTTTAACCACAAAGAAATTATGTTTAAAGAGATTTTATTCTGAACATTATATATACAAAAATAAAAACATCACATGGCACTTTATAAATATGTACAATTTGACATGGCATAAATAATATTTGGGTCAGGCCCAAATGGTGGCCCTTGCCTATAATCCCAGCATTTGGGAGGCTGAGGTATAATTACTAAAATTCAAGCCAGACTGGGCTACACAGATTTCCACCCTAGCCCGAGCTACATAAAATTCAAGCCAGACTGGGCTACACAGATTTCCACCCTAGCCTGGGCTACATTTGGGAGGCTGAGGTATAATTACTAAAATTCAAGCCAGACTGGGCTACACAGATTTCCACCCTAGCCGAGAATTCAAGCCAGACTGGGCTACACAGATTTCCACCCTAGCCCGAGCTACATAGCAAGACCTTGTCTCAAAAAAGTAATAAATTCTTGGGAATGGAATGCCAAAAATGGAGGCATTTTAGTGAACACTAGTGATTTTCTGTTTTCCAGGAAATTGAAGCACAGGAAGCCATTCCAAAGGAAATGCCCTGCAGGTCCACTCAACTTCATTAGCTTGTTTGCTGCCCAAACAAAGGGCAAGGCGATGGATATTAGCTTAGGAAACAAGGTTAGGTATGTCTCAAGGTATCCTGATAAAGAGCCACCAAGCGGTATGTCTAAGTGAGTGCTTGGCCATATTCATAAATACTCCTCTAAAGAAAGCTGAGCTGGAGGAAGCCAGGCTATCTGCCCTGCATGCCAGGACTCCAGTATTTTTTATAAAAATATATATTTAAAAAAAAAAACCCAAAGCTTTTGCCATGGACCTCTTGCAGCAAATCACTACTCAGTCCTTATGCCAGAGCCCCCAATGGAACACCAACATCACCAAAGGAGGCCAAGGGGTCTGAGGCTAAGGTTAGCATATTCCAAAACTCGCCAACAGTTTGCAGGTTAAACAGAAGTTGCTCTCGGCTTCTACTGCATACCCAAACCGTGATTTCCCTTCTCCATGTCGTGTTTGGTTTCCAATGACATGCCTCACATGTTAATTCTTGTCAGTGCAAATTCTAACTCATGGCCCTGTTTAAATCCCATGTATGCTCCAAAAGTTCTTTGGAAAATAGTTACCTAACCATTTGACCCTTTAATATTTCACTTTAAGCATGTTATATTGTTCAATATCACTTTCCAACTGATGCATTCTCTTGGGGAGGGGGTGTTCATGAGACTCAGGAAGTAAACAAGCTTCACATACGTGGGAAATCTGAAAGCTGCAGGATTACTGGAGGGACCACTCCCAAGGGTTGTAGACATGGACCACTGCTGAGGAGACTGACCAGCCAAGCTGCAGAGATTTCTCAGATGTGTCAACCTGCCTGCCAGGTTGTGTGGACAGCTCAAGATGCAGCTTCCATGAACGGTCATCTGCGTTGAGGTGGTTTTCCAGTGATGCGGCTGCATTTGAGTGCATCCTGCCCCTGTAATTCCTCACCCATGTTCCCAGTTAGTAACCCCAATAACCCCAATAACTCCCTGGTTCACCAAGTTGGACTTTGATGTAACTTACTTTGGTGTCCATGGGTTCCCCTTCTGGAGTGAATAGACCTGCATTGCATCTCCCCGGGATGTCTCTCACATGTGCTGTGACAAGAGTACAATGCTAAGGTTGATACATCCCAGAAAGTATAACCAGCTTGCTGGTGAGTTGGAGCAGTTCTTTGCTTTCTCTGAACCCGCACATGTGCTGTGACAAGAGTACAATGCTAAGGTTGATACATCCCAGAAAGTGTAACCAGCTTGCTGGTGAGTTGGAGCAGTTCTTTGCTTTCTCTGAACCCAGGGCAGGGCCTTGCCCATACTAGAATAGGAAAGAGCTACTGATGAGCTCTACACTACTAGCTTTGATATAATGCACTTTACAAAGATGGGTTGGGGGCTGGAGAGATGGCTCAGAGGATAACAGCACTAACTACTCTTGCAAAGGACCCGGGTTTGAATCCCAGCAACCACATGGTGGCTAACCAAGGGATACGATGCCCTCTTTTGACCTCCATGGGCATTGCACAACATGGGTGTACTTACATACATGCAGGCATTTCACCCATACCCATTAACAAAAAAAAAAAAAAAAAAAAGCCGGGTTGGGGCTATAGCTCGGTGGCACAAGTACTTGCCTAACACAGGCAAGGCTGTGCCCTGCATTCAATCCCCAGCACTGTAAAACCACACACACACACAAAAAAAAAAAATCCTAAACTTACACAAACTTGATTTCCTGTTGGGCTATTATAAAATCTTACATTGAAGATACTTTCCTACAGTCCTACAACGTATTACATATTTGATGATTTCCATAATTATCAGACTGCTAAGCCAAAGGTGGGCAGCCCAGCACCAAGCCCTTTTGGATCTTCTTACTCATGTTACCATTATTTATCCTCCAGACAGGTTATTCCAATTTACTTTTTATTTATGCATCATTCAAAAAATATTTTGTGCCTACATTGTGCTAGGAACTCAGATAAAATCACTAACTAACCAACATCCCTGCCTTCATGGAGCTGACAATCTAAGGAGAGACACCCCAAACCCACACTGTCCCAAATTCTTCACAAACTGAGGTGACCTAAAAAGGGAAAGTGTGCTTTCAAAGTTCACAAGTATCTGAGGACTGAACACAGCCCGAGGTGTCTGCAGGAGGTTCCATGAGGAAGACTGACTCTGGGATGGGAGCTACAGTTTTAATTGCAATCAGGTGACAACTGGTTAGAGAGTGGGCTGGAGAATACAGCCTAAGAGAGGAAAACACTAGGACAGAGCCCGTGAGAGAGGCAGATACACAGGCCATTTTAAGACACTTTGCAGCTCACTTCAGCTTGAGTGCAGAAACTAGAGTAAGGCCAGCAGCTACACGGAGAGCAACTTCCTGACTCTCCCTCACTAGCAAGACCCAAAGTCAACAGACACACAGGCTACAGAGTAAGCCTATGGCAGTCAAAGCCTCAAAACTAACCAGGGAATAAAGGCACAATAAACTGTGAATCAAACAAAGTGGGGAGGGGATGAAAGTCACCCTACAAATGGAATGTATTTTCAATCTGTTCCAGAACGTTTTCTTAAGATTTTTATGTGTGTGTGCGCACGCACCTGAGTGAGTACCGTGAGTAACCAGAGCATCCAGAAGAGGGTGCCGGATCTCTTAAAGCAAGAGTTATAAGTGGCTAAGAGCCACTCCATGTGGGTGTTGGGAACTGAACTTGGATCCTCTGGAAGAGCAGCAAATGCTCTTAACTATTGAGTCATCTCTCCAGCCTCCTGTTGCCAATCTTTAAGCATACAAGGCTGTGAGTGCCATACACTTTAAACATAATCAGCTACATAGAATGGTTTAACATTTGTCATCTAAAATATCTGCACGCCCAAAGACCACAAAGCACATGAAAAATTCCTTAACATCAATAAGTAAAATGCTAAGGCTCAGTTCACTGAAAAATGTTTATAATTTGTCAGAGAAACTTCATATTTTATGCAAAAAACAAATGTCACAATGAAAACCCATTTCTGTGATCATTCAATGACTGTACCTAGGTGATTTTTTTATTGCAACTTCAATTTCTGTAGATTATCTTCCACAGGAAAGTCAGATTAAAATCAGCGCTACAATGTTCTAAAAACCAAAAGACATCAGGTATACCTTTTTCACTGTTCTCACATATCCATATAGCTAACCAGCATCATCAATTAAAGAACGTTTTAGTAGTTGTCTTTAAGGAAAAAAAAAAAAAAAACTGTTCAGAAAGACAAAATGAGGTCCAGGTGGAGATAAAAAGTTCGGTGCTCAGCAATCCTCATGAACAAGACAACCTCCCAGGGATGAACTTGAAGCAACTGCAACCATTGTCTGTGACACAGAGAATACCTCTCAAAATGTCATCACTGATTCTGAAGAGCCTTCGACCCCACCTCATGGCTTGGGATTTTCTTTTCCCTGCTACAATACAAAGATAATGCCACGTCCTGAGGATGCTTGTGCTAAAAACCACAAAATACAAGATGCAGCACTTTCCATCATTGACTGCTTTCTGAAGTCCACTGAATGCTCCAGACCAATTTTTTCTAGACTGATTAGAATGCTTTAGCAATACACAGTACAAAAACTATAGAGCTAAAACAGTCTGCATAAACACATTTTAAACAGGTGTATTTGAAACATATTTTCCACTCTATTACTTTTCTAAATGACTCTTTTTTTAAAAAGGAACATCTTCAGAGATGTTTCTGGAAAATCTTCATAGACACTTCCAAATCAGTGTGAGCTGCCCATTCCCACGGCACAGACATTTCACGGTCTTATCTGCAAAACACAATTCCAGAACTCAAAGAGCAGTAGAAAAAGCGAGAAGCCCATGCAGCTTACAAAATGAAAAGTGTAATACCATAAAATAGATAGTAGCAAACATTTTTTTAAATTTATTTTTAGTTGTGTGTGTCTGTCTGTCTTTCTGTGTGAATGTATAAGTCATGTGTGCAGGTGCCTGCAGAGGCTAGAAGAGGATATCAGATCCCCTGGAGCTGGAGCTACAGGCAGTTGTGAGCCACCCAGTGTGGAGGCTGGGAAACAAACGCAGGTCCTCTGGAAGAATAACAAGGACGCTTAACCACCGAGCCACCTCTACAGTGCCTATACAGAGTCAACTATTATATAATACATTTTTCGAAATAATTTTATAATTTTTCTTCATTTTAAATAGTAGAGGATAGATACAGAAAGTTTGGGAAATACAGAAAAGCAAGGGAAAAAAATCAGGTGACAGCTATTTGAGGTCA